ACCAATACTCTAACCAAGAAATATAAAACCTGTGGAAAATTAGTCCTAGGTGGTGGAAATGCAGCAGATATTATATAATCTGTGTAAACACTGAACTGTGGTTACAAAGTAGCAGCCTTCTCTACATTCTTTTCTACATGCCCAAGCATCCATCTGAGGAGTGACAAAAGCAGCAAATGCAATATTTCTGCTGAATAAGCATATTTGGAAGGCACCTGACGCTGGAATTGCAAATTGCAGGCAAAGAGAGAGACACATTTCAAACTCGAGAAGACTTCAGGTCCTTTTAAAAGTCCCCCTCCAGAAACAGGTTTGCAACGGTAAGCTCATTTCTAAGAAGTCATTGCAGAATTTCTGAATCTAACTGGCTATCAGTGGTTTACTACATATTTTAATTCTGGTTGGAAGTAGTGTATGTGAAAGAGGATAAAAAAAATCAGGCCTTTTGGTTAGAGCCTCTCAAAAGCACACCAAAGCCTTCAAATCCTCTGAAAATGTCCCCTAATCCATAGGATGCAACTTTTTTTCTGTGCCAGCACAACTTCTCCTCTTCCTATATCTTGAGGAAAGAGAGAGCATGCACCCTTGTCCCCTAGAGCATCATGCATCTTTAGGGGAGATGATGTACTCTCTTTAATCAGCAGACTTTCACACAGGTTGTATGTCTCTTCCCACCATGCCTCTCCAGCCATTAAACTTGTTTGGGTAGAAACTATGGGGCATTCTACCTGCTAATTGGGAAGGTATCAACAGGTAAAGTGCCAGATTTGACAGATTATCTGCTGTGCTTCCATGACACTATGTTTAAATCTCCTATGCTCAGAAGCCCCAGAGTGCACTAGCCTACAGTGCTGTGTGATACTTCTAAATGGATTTGACACCAAAAACTTACGTATTGCTGATTAGTTCTAGGATCAAACTTTTTGAAACATCTAAAGGTTTGGGTTTGATTTGCTTCAAAGAATAGGAAATTGTTCAGTCTGATTCTTATCTGCTCCTAATTAATCTAGCCAGCTCTAATTATTTTTAATTTGTTTCCATGTATGCTTTTGTATTAAAAAATATAAAATTAACAAGAAAATATGCATTTGCATGCTGAGGTCATTAAGTTATATAAAAATGTTCTGAGAGCTTCTAGTATCAAAAATGTTATATAAATGGTATTACCTTGTTATTTTCTGGATTGTTTTAAAAAAATCAAGTGAACACTGTTGATTATTTCCAGCCCTTTAAAATAGAACATTTAAACCATTCTACATGGCTGGAGACAGACAAGAATGGGCAGACTGTGACAACTAAAGTGAAAAGAACCAGGAGAAATTCCAAACAACCAGAAGTTTCCAATCCTTACTATGTCCTCAGTGTGGAAACTACAGAAGATATCTCTGACAATCCAGCTGTTTGACTGGAACAGAGAGATGTGCAACACACACCTGTGGATGAATAGTAAGTCCAACCCATAGGAAAAAAATCAAGCATTTCCACAAAGAGATATCCAACCATTCAAGACTACAGACAATACTGGTTGGAGATTCTATATCAAGAAGAAAGGGAAAACATTCTGCAAAAGACAGGCAGACAACAGAACAATGCGCTGTCTTCCTGGAGCCAAGACACAAGACATGACTAAGATTGGACAGCCTTCTGAAGTGTGTGGGGAGGTAAGAATCTGCTGGTGATGGTGAATATGGATACTAATGATGCTGCTTCACAGAATACCTCACAGATTACAGATGACTTTAAGGGAACTTGGAATGGTGCTGAAGAAGAATGTCCAAGTGATCTTCTTGGAGATAATTCCTGTCCTGGGAGTGAAGAAAGAGAGAAGATTCTGGAAGTGAACCACTGGCAAGGTAACCAGTGTCAGGTGGAGGATTTTGGTTTTGTGGAACATTAGTCCACCTTCTGTGGGAAGAGAAAATTTTGAATGGCTTCCATCTCAGTAGCAGGGAAACCAATCTTCATGGAGACAGGCTTGCTAGATTAGTTATGAAGACATAAAACTAACAACAAAAGGGGAGGGTGAAAAGAGTGGGCAAAAGAGGAGGGGGAATAGCACTCTATGTCAAAAATTGCATTACCTGTTTCCAAGTTCCTGACAACTTGGAAGCAAATGACGTTGAATGCTTATGGATCAATCTTTTAACTGATACATTACAAGATGGAGTGTTAGTTGGTGTCTGCTATACACCACTAAATCACACTAGAGAATAAGATGACCTATCTCTAAAGCACCTGTTTATTATGGGGGTAGGAAAAAAAGCTGCACTACCATAGACTTCAATCTGAGTGACATATGCTGTAAGTCTCATGCTGCCAGTATGAATTCCAGAAATTTATAAATGACAATTTTCTAACTGAAAAAGTGTTGTACCCAACATGGAGGACTTTACATTAGATCTCATCTTGACAGATAAAGAGGAATTGATCACAAAACTAAAAATTAGTGGCAGTTTATGTACCAGTGGTTGTGACTTGATTACACTTGTAATGTGCAAACAGAATAAAGTGCAAACCATAATATATATACTTGGTGCTTTAAAATGGTCAATTCATAAAGCTAAAAACAATTATAAGCAGATCAGTTGAGAGAAGGAATTTAAACCAAAAAAAGGGAATGGTAATTGGGAACTGTCTCAGAATATTTTACTAGAGGCCCAAACAGGCATGACCCCATAATTGAGAAAGAAGGCCACACTGATTAAAAAACCCAACAAATCTGGCATACAGGGGAAGTGAAAGCAGCTAATAATTTTTTTAAAATATAACAAATGGAAGAAAGAAGAAGTAGATAGTGATTAATATAAATCAGAAGCTAGGAATAGTAGAAAGTTGACAATGGAAGCAAAACGACCCAAAGAGAAACCTATGGCCAGCAGAGCTAAGAACCATAGGGATGCTACTGGTCCATTATTAAATGAAATGGTAGAACTGTCAATAATAATGCAGAAAAGGCAGAACTGTTCAATAAATATTTCTGTTCTGTATTTGGGAAAAAGTCAGATGATATATTCATATCATATATTGTGGATGAAATACTTTCCTTTTCAACAGTCACTGCAGAGAGTGATACACAGCACTCACTGAAGCTAGACATCTTTAAATCAGTGGGTCCGAATAACTTGAATCTGAGAGTTTTAAAAGAACTGGCCACAAAATTCTGTGGACCATCAGCGTTGCTTTTCAATAAGTCTTGGAACACTGGGAAAGTTCCAGAGGACTGGAAGAAAACTAATGTGTGCCAATATTTAAAAAGGATAACTAGAAAAAGCTGAATAATTATAGACCCATCAGCCTGACATAGGTCCCAGGCAAAATATGGGAATGGCTGTTACATGACTCAATTAATAAAGAATTCAAAGAAGATAATGTAATTAATGCCAATCAATATGGGTTTATGGAAAACAGACCTTGTCAAACAATCTTTTTTTTTATAAGGTTACAAATTTTGCTGATAAAGGTAATACTGTTGATGTAATACACTTAGAGTTTTGTAAGTCATTTGACTTGGTATCATGACAGTTTGATAAAGAAAATAGAATGATACAAAAATCAGTGTGACACATTAAATGGATTAAATAGTGGCTAACTATTAAGTCTCAAAATGTAACTGTAAATAGCAAATCATCATCGAGTGTTTCTGGTGGGTCCCACAGGGATCAGTTCTTGGCCCTATCCTATAACTTTTTTTTATCTGGAAGAAAACATTACATCATTACTGATAAAGTGAGGAGATGACAAAGATTGGGGGAGTGGTAAATAGTGAAGATGACATCACTGTTAAAGAGCAATCTGGATGCTGGGGACAAGCAAACAATACACATTTTAATGCAGGCAAATGTAAAGTCACACAGCTAGGAACAAAGAATGGCAGCCATATTTATGGGAAGGGGGATTCTACACTGGGAAGCAGTGACTCTGAAAAGGATTTCAGGGTCCTGGTGGATAATCAGCTGAACATGAGCTGTGGCCAAAAAGACTAATGTGATTCTTAGATGCATAAATAGGGGAATATCAAATAGAAGTGGAGAGGTTATATTACCTCTGTATTTGGCACTGGTGCAACTGCTACTGGAATACTGTGTCCATAGTTTTGGCATCCACAATTCAAGAAGGATGTTGATAAATTGGACACACATAGATTTTAGATAGTCATGATGGTGCCTTCTGACCTTAGTTTGACCTCTTGCACACTGCAGGCCACACAACTACGCCCAACCACTCCTGTAATAGACCCTTAACTTCTGGCTAAGTAACTGAAGACCTCACATCATGATTTAAAGACTTCAAGTTACAGAGAGTCTACCACTTACACTAATTTAAATCTTCAAGTGACCCATGGCCCATACTGCAGAGGAAGATGATGGTGAAAAAGACAGTTCAGAGAAAAGCCACAAGAATGATTAAAGCACTGGAAAACATACCTCTCAGTGATAGTCTTAAGGAGTTCAATTTAACAAAGAGAAAATTAATGGGTGAGATGGTCACAGACTGTAAGGATCTATATGGGAATATAAATTTGATAACAGAGGGCTCTTCAGTCCAACAGTCAAAAATATAACAAGATCCAATTTCTGGGAAGCTGAAGCTAGTTAAATGCAGACTAGAAATAAGGTACAAATTTTTAACAGTGAAGGTAAGTAACTATTGGAACAAATTCACCCAGGGTTGTAGTGGATTATCCACCAATGGAAATTTTAAAATCAAGATTGCACGTTTTTATAAAAGATACACTCTAGTTCAAACAGAAATTTAGGGAAATCGTATGGCCTGGGTTACACAGGAGGTCAGATGAGATGATTACAACAATCCCTTTTGATTTTATAATCTACAAAACTCTTAGCTCCTAGTGACTAGTGTCATCCATTGCCATTTGCCACTGCCAAATTCTAAGGAACCTTATTTCCCTACACTAGATTAAAAAATGTACTGTAAGTCTTGCAAATGAAGAGGTATATAGCTGTACATAGTTTAAAAGCAGGAACAATAGGATTACTTACCACATGAAGAATTTTATTTTCTGTTTCGTATACTGTGCAATCCTATCGTAAAGAAAAAAGAAAGACACAATGTGTGAGATTTAAAATCTTAGCCCTACACACATGAATGAAATTATTATTAAAAAGAAAAAAAATAACACTTTATAATGTTAGAATATGTCTCTTGCATTCACACACACATGTATATAGCGAAGTCATCTCTCCAGGGTTTATATGAATGTCTAAAGGTTATTCTGTTTTCTCTGGGAAACTTCACTGCAGTAATGTCTCATTAACCTTAGGGATCTATTCTATTTATATGACTATAGTTCTTGTTCTTTGTAATGGGAACTATGCGCCTGTATCGGGGGAGAACAGATCATTAATATAAGCAGAGATATGTATGTAGAAATGCACTATCATGTAAATGTTAAAAAGTGGGCTGTAGTCCACGAAAGCTTATGCTCTAATAAATTTGTTAGTCTCTAAGGTGCCACAAGTACTCCTGTTCTTCTTTTTGCGGATACAGACTAACACGGCTGCTACTCTGAAACATGTAAATGTTAGTAATACATGGCCATTTAGACCTAGATAGACATAGCCTAGTCCTAAAATTTTCAATCAGGCAAAAAAGGTGGTTGACTTTAATATTATTTTTTTCTGGAGTGAAGACTATAGTGTCAGGTCCACAGCCAGGGAGTACCCCCTTTTTTTTTTACTAATGTACTGGATGGCAAGATTGAATGATGAGAAGACAAGTTGTTTCAGGGAATAGACATAATTTTAATGTCTTTTTTTTTAAGTCTTGCTTGACCTTCACCAGATTACAGGTACCATATCTGACAATCAGGGGTCTTCTTCTTTGAGCTCAAATGCGTTATATATCACAATGCAATATATCACAGCAAGTTGCTATATTTTTGGACATTTCCATGTGAAAAGGCAGATATCCCATCTTGAGTTATATTTACAGATTTCTGTGAAACAAAAGCAGATTATTATTGTTATTCATTATTTATATTAACATAGTTCCTAGGAGCCCTCGTTAGGGACTAGGACCACATCTTACTAGGCACTGTCCAAACACCGAACAAAAAGATGACCCCTACCCCCAAGATCTTATAACCTAATTATGTCAGAGAAACTCATACCACTGATACTATAGTAACAATATAAAAAAAACCACATTACTTCTAAGTTCAGTTTTTCAAAAAAACGTAATATTTTGCCTATAATTTTGGGTACACAAGGGTTTCTCAACCTTTTTTCTTAGCAAGAACTAGATGTTAATAGAGAGATTGTCTCACAGATACCTCTTCACAGACCACAGTAAGTATCTAATCTTGAGTTTAGCATACAGTGAGGCAAATTATGGTGTAAAGACATGTGACACTGTTGAGATAACAGTAATAAGTACATAAAAATAGATTACTTTTAGGGACTCTTTTTAATGGCCTCTCATTTTGCATTTAAAACACAATCATTTGCTCCTGGAAAAGATAAAATTTGTGTGCAAATGTATTTGTTCTTCCAAATCTAGCTCTCAGTTTTCTGTGTGGTTTGTGCATATTAAAACTGTTTGTGTGAACAACTCTGTCTTTTGCAAAATAAATATTTGTGAAGGCAAAGTTGTGGGCACACATTTAGATGACACACTTACTCTACTTAGAAAATATTGCTCTTACAAGCCAAAAAGTAGCACAACCATACTATCTTATGATAGGTTACATCAATTTTATTCTGAAAAAAAAATCAGAAAGAAAACCCTTAAAGCACTCAACCATAAACATAGCACAATGGAATTAAATGCACCTGGATTTGTGATGCTCTTCATTTAGAAGAGGGTTGCATTTCTCTGTCATTTCCCTGACAGCAGAGATGTTATGGTTTACAAATCCAGCAGGGTTTGCTCACACTGGAATTGAGGTTGCCACTGAAAATAGTGACAACAGGGATTAATTTTCATATTTCTTGTTGACAGATTTTTTTTTCCTAATAGAATCCATGAATTCTCCACCGTCTTATTTTAAGGTAAGTGAAATGCGGACCCTAATTAAACTACTTGGCATTGACTCTTAAATGGTAAGTGGATAGGAAAGAAGGGGACTGTCGGCTTTATTCAGTGCAAAGATGTTATAATTGCAACTGACCACAAAGACATAGGTACATTTTATTTATTTGTTTATTGGATGGATGGAAATTGCTTACAGGAAGAGAATAGATTATTTAGGTATTAAAAAAAATAAAGGTCCAAAATGTTCCTGGCTCTTGTGCAGTTATACAGGAAGGGCTTGTGGAGCCTCTTCTCTGTGTGTCCTCTGCATGGAGCAGAAACAATTGTAGTCCCATCACTTGTGGCCCACAGAAAGAAGCAGGCTTCTCCATCCTAAGGGCTAGTGCAGCATGTGCACGCATCAGGGATCAGGCCTCCTGAAGAGCAATCTCTCCCCAAGCTCCCTGTGACAAAGTGGCTCCGTGTTACTCTAACAAAGGCCTGAATAACATAATCTGGATCAAAATCGGTATTGGCAGTAGATTTCTAAATATGTAAGAAATGCATTCACACTTCTTAGCTCATTTATCATAGCAAGGATAATGAAATTTGTCAGTCTTGGTCAAAGGCTACTAGTCCCTCAGCTCGCACTCTGATTGAATTCCATTACAGGTGGTTGGTCTGTTAAGTGTTTTTCACTAGACCAAGCACATACTTTGATTTCCAAGAATAGAGCTTAGGGAGAACATAAACCCTAATTATAAAAAATTTAAATATTGAATATTTGCAGGTCAGATCAAATTATCCATCACCACAACAATGAAACAGCCCTGTCTTCATCTCTCCTTTCATGACACTATGCTTCAGAGCAACTAGATTTCTGCCCAACAGAGTAACATACAATATTAATACCAGGCAGTTACATGCTCAGCTTGTGAAGCTGAAGACACTGGTTTTAGATAGTAATGTTGAACAGCATGGCATAAAAGTATATGGACACAGGGATGCTGCACAAGCCATAAAATACCATTTTATATCCTACTGATAGAACAAGCAAAACATTTGGGGTCAGATAAGACTATACAAGTTTCAGAACCAGTTTTTTCCCCTCTGGTGTAATTAAACCAGTTTTGAAAATGTCACTTCTTTAAGGTTCCCCAAAAAGAGAGAGACGCAATTGTGGAATGAAGATGGCATAGATAACATTTAATTATGATTTCCTGGCCAGAAATTAGATAAGATTCTTTTAGAGTATCTTAAGTGTTTAATAAAATCTGAGTAAGAGAAAGAAATAATTTTGCTACTACACAGCTGAGGTACAATAGGGATGCTGGGGAAGCATGAAGGGGCCTGGGATGCCTCAACATAGCTAGCAACACATCTGAATTTTTCATTCTCCAGCAGAAAAAGTCAGTCCAACAGTTACATAATCAGCTCTGCATATAATTTCTTGAAAGTAGTCAGATATATTTCCTTGAATGTAAACTTTATTCTTTTACACTGACACCCACTTCAAGGTCCCTTTACGCTAGGAGGGTGGTGTAAAGGACCTTCAGTGTAAACAAGTGGTAGGCCCAAACTGCTGTATCCCATTAGAAAGGGGAGATCACCACTTCCTTATTACTAACATTGATGGTTCACTAAACGTGGGCCCTTAAATCTGTCACTGATCAAGATGTGGCTATTGTTCATCCTGTACTTCAGATCAGTAACATGATTTGGGAAAATAATATTTTCTTTCTTTAAATGGCAGCTGCTTGAAACTTCTGGTGGTTTAGAATGTTGGAAGTAGGTTTGATAGAAATAAATTTGTGAGCAGACTGTAGATTCAGTAGGTAAGAGATGGTTACTCACTTTGTGCAATAAGGTTCTTTGAGATGTGAGTCCATGTGGGTGCTTCACTTTAGGTGATTGTACACCCTGCGCCTCTATTCGGATTAGGGTGACCAGACAGCAAGTGTGAAAAATCAGGACGGGTTGGGGGCGGGGTAATAGGATCCTATATAAGAAAAAGACCCAAAAATCAGGACTGTCCCTATAAAATCGGGACATCTGGTCACCCTAAGTTGGATAATTTTGACAGCAATACCTGGCTGGGCCGCACATGCGCTCTCCTCATCTCACGCCTGCAACAGCAATTAACTAGTGCAGTGCTGTGCGCCCCCACCCCACAGTTCCTTCTCTACCGCAGAGGAATTAATTAGAACTCCGAAGTAGAGAGGAGGAGAGTGGGTACTGGAGCACCCACAAGGACTCACATCTCAAAGAACGTCCGTTATTGCACAAGGTGAGTAACCCTCTCTTCTTCTTCAAGTGGAGTCACTGTGAGTGCTCCATTTTAGCAGTGCCTCTCAGGGGAAAGGAGGGGCTTCAGAGTTAGGTCTGAATGGACCATAAGACTGTGTGTCCCAGCCAAGTGTCAGAGGCTGAGACCTGATCAATGATGTAGTGTTGAATGAATGTGGGAGGAGATGTCCAAGTAGCTGTGTTGCATATGTCAGTAATAGGCACATTATGCAGGAAGGCAACCGACATAGCAACAGCTCTTGTGGAGTGTGTTCTAACCCATGAGGGGGGTTGCAGTTCATATTGTCAGTAACAGAGCTGAATGCAATATGAAATCCATCTGGAAAGTCTCTGCTTAGAGATGGGTTTGCCTTTGGAGCCGTCCATGGTGGAGAGGAACAATTTAGGAGTTTTCCTGAACGATTTAGTCCGTTCAAGATAAAAGGCTAGCACCCTTCTAATGTCCAGGGTGTGGAAAATAGCTTCTTGCCTGTCCTTGTGAGGGTTAGGGAAGAATGTGGGAAGATGGATAGGCTGATTGATGTGGAAGGAAGAATGGACTTTAGGCAAAAATTTGGGGTCAGGTCTGAGAGTGACTTTGTTTTTGAGAAAACCATATAGGGTGGTCCAGTCATAAGAGCACCAATTTCTCCCATGCATCTCGCAAATGTGATGGCAACTAGGAAGGCCATCTTCATGGAAAGATGTAGAAGAGAACATGTGGCCAGAGGTTTGAATGGGTGTGGTTGTGAGAGATTAAAGCACTCAAGTCAGGTCCCACTGG